TGAACTATCTAAATATTAAGGAGATATCTTCAAAGAGTTAATAGATGTGACAGCACTTTGAAGGTATAAAATACTATACAAATGCAAGGCTTTAACAGTATTCACGAAAATGTTATGTGAGGTATGGAGATAATGTTTCAGGGAACACTGAATGAGTAATGAACATTTTAACAACTTTATTAAGGTATAATTTACACACTATAAAATGAGCACTGAATTTTATTTAAAGATATTAAGGCTGTTTCCTTAGGAAGAGCCAAGGTTCGAAGATTAAAAAAAAAACTTACAATGCATATTAAATTACTATTTAAAATGTAGCTCCTGTCATCCCTATGGTATCAACAGAAACTGACAAGGAAGGGATGAAATGGCTAGATTTCAGACTGTTTTAAATCATTTTTCTCAAAACTAGTTAGCTTCATTATTGAGAAAAAATATTAGAAATGGACAATGAATATAGAAAACAAACAAAAAACGTGAACCTCACTAATAAAAACAATGCAAAAGTATTTTTCAAAATGATCTCAGCCAAGTTTTATTTTAATAATACTAATGCTGATAAAGATATGATGAATATGCCCTCCAGTATATCACTGATGGGAATGTGAACTGTTTCAACCACTGGAAAAGCAATCTGACAATGTATGAGGAACTTTTAATACTGTTACTATTTGATATAGAAATGACAATTCCAGGAATTATAATTTAATATAATGCTATATATACAAAGATGTTCATTTAATAAAAAACTAGAAACAGCCTAAATGTCCAAAGCCAAGGAAATGGATAAAGAAAATATATAGTTAATGGAATATTATACAAATATTAAAACTGATGACTATGACATACACAATAACCTGTAAAATACTTATTATATTATGTTAAAAAAGCAGGATCCAAAATGTATTTGTATCACTAACACAACTATACAAAAATTAAAGAGAAAAGACTGGAAATAAACATTAAAAATATTAACAATGGTTGTATATGGGTGTAGAGATTATTAAAGATTATTTTTCTCCTTTCCACTTATCTCATTTTTCCATTTTTCTAAATTAACAAGCAAGTATTCCTTTAATATTTTCTTATACAAGGAATACACAAATATTTTCTCATGTTAAAGATTCAAACAATACAAAAGCATAAGAATAACAGGTAACCTCCCCCATCAACAGTCACCCCAACTATCTGCCTTCTCTATCTTTGGTAAGTTTGCATCATGTTTTTAGTAACTTTTAAACATATGTAAATGTTTTTATTTGATGAATACTTACGTTAAATATTCAATAAATGGTATTTTTATAATGAAAAATTTTAAAAGAGAAAAAAAATCACCATTACCAAACTTGCTACTGATGTATTATTATATGACCATAAACAAAAAGTTCTGCTTCTTAATTTTCTATTTTAATTAATTTCTTTAAACTTCAACACTTAAAGCTATTTCTACTTTGGTCAAGCACATATTTACAGACTTAATGTCTGACATTCTGTATAATAGTGGTTATTTTTCTTGAGATTAATGCAAAAGCCAATATTCATCTTGTTTGCTGACTTTGAATTTACCTCATTGTTTTGTTTGAAGAACAAAATATATAAATTAGGTTAATGCTCCTAAATTAGAGCACTTGACTTAAAACACTTCCCCTTTTTATTGGTATAATATTACTGATTCCTAGTTGCCGATACTCCTGGTTTTGGTTCCAAAGAGTACAGTAAACCAAGATATCTAGGCAACAATCTGAAACGTAGCTGTAAAGATCTTTGAAAGGAACTTATGCACAAATTCACTTCTCCTCTTTCATCTAGCTAGACGTACAAGAGAAAATTGAGACCTTGTTTTGTTTGTTTGCTTGTTTGTGGAAAATAAATGTAGCCAACTCAGTATAACTTCGTAATAAAAGCTAATGGCGTTGAGTAGACAAAACTACATGAAAAAACTTCCTACCGCTTTCAGTTTAGTATTTCATCAACAAATCAAAGGAACTAACCCAGAACTGAAGATCTTAGAGTATGGACTGATAAAATCTGTTGACAGAGAGAATTCCTGAGAAGTGCTACATTTCAAGAAAGAATATATATTTTTAATTTTTAAAATTTTTTATTTGGAAATAATTTTAAACTTACAGAATAGTTGCAAAAATAGAAACAGTACAAAGAATACCCATATATCTTTACCAGATTCACTTATTGTTACCATTTTACCCCATTTGCTTTATCATTCTCTCTCTTCACACACAGATACACACACATACACACACACACATGCAGGCACACAGGCATGCACACACTCACGTAGATAATCTTTTTTTGAACCATTTCAGGGAAGGTTATACACATACATCATGGCCCTTTACTTCTAAATACTTCTCAGAGTATTTCCTAAGAATATGGAATGCTCTTATATAACTATAGCACCATTATCAGCCTCAGTAAATTTAACATTGAAACAATTTTTTAATCATCTATTTTGTCAATTGGCCTAACAATGTCCTTTGTCACATTTTTCACATCCAGTATAGGAGAGTTAGGTACTGCTTAGTTAAGTTTTTCTAGCCTCCTTTAATCTAGATCTTTCCTACAGTCTCTTTTTCTTATATGACATTGACTTTTGTGTGTGTGTATGTGAGGAAGGTTGGCTCTGAGCTAACATCTGTTGCCAATCTTCCTCTTTTTGCTTGAGGAAGACTGTCCCTGAGCTAACATCTGTGCCAACCTTCCTCTACTTTCTATGTGGGATGACGCCACAGCATGGCTTGATAAGTGGTGTGTAGGTCTGCGCCTGGGATCCGAACCTGCGAACTCCAGGCCACCGAAGCAGAGTGCGCGAACCCAACCACTAACGCCACCAGGCTGGCCCCGACATTGACAGTTTTGAAGAATACAAATCCCCTTTTTGTAATAGAACATTCCTAACTTATGGTTTGCCTGATGTTCGTACATGATTACATTCAGGTTATGTATTCTTGCCCAGATACCATGTCCTTCTCAGGGTATCATGGATGTCCATCTACCCTTTATTAATGATGTTAATCTTGATCACCTGGTCAAAGTGTTGTTCGATTTCCTCACTTTATAATTACTAATTTTTCCCCTGCAATATGTGGGAGACAATTTGAAACAATGCAAATATCCTGGCTCCTTATTGAAACTGGCCCTAGATTTAGGATCTTTTGATGATTCTTGCCTGATCCAACCCTCACCATTATGACTGCAGAATGATAATTTTTCAACTCCAGCACTCTTATATTTACCAGTTGGTACTTGGCATTCTACTATAAACAAGTGTCCTCTCTTCTCCCTTCTCTGCTATTGGCATAGACTCATGTATTCATTTTCCCTCTAATGGTTTACAATTTATTACTGTACTTTTTAGCACTCAGTCCCAAATTTAGCCGGTGGGAGTTCCTTCAAGCTGGCTAATTTGTCCTTGCGACAAGTCTCCATCCTATTTTTGGGCACTTCTTTCCTCACTTTCTAGTATTAAGAGATGTTTCAGGCTTATCTTGCACCTATCCTGCTCCAGTTCTAGAATAAGTCGTTTTTCCAAGGAGCCTCAGTTCCTTTGAGTGGGGAATGGTATTAGAAACTAAATCTGGGCATTACATTTGCTCACTTCTATTGGGGTGCTTTTGCTTCAACAATTAGAGCTTAAGAAGCATATGTAGGTATATATATACTTATATATACAAACACAAACACACGTATATAAAGATATACAAATATATACAGAAACATGTATACGCGGCCACACACACATGCACGTAACGCATACATACGCATATTTTTAAAGTCATAAGTCCATACTGATACTTTGCATTACAATCTATTCCTATAGGATTCTCTTGTTTTCCCCCGTTTATAACTGCATGTCCCTATTCCTTCAGTAAGAACACTGGCTCCCAAGAACATCAACGCATATACTCATTTTCTTAATCCTATAATATAATACATTTACAATTGTTTCCGAATTGCTTTGTCCACACTACTAAAAGACAAACCTTCTAAAAAGAGTTCAGTATTTGTTTGCAATTCTCCCATCTCTTACATCCCATCTCACCCAAAAGAGTATATATACTCAAATACTGTGTTTTGCAAAATCCTCAGATTAGTTCTTTCTTTTTCCCTTAAGTGTGATTATGATATTTATGTGAAATACAATTGGGGCTCATTTATTTCAGTTTGCTTTCAATTTGGGGTTTTTCCCCCTTCCCATCCTTCCTGATTTAATTTCACTTTTTGCATATGTAGAATAGTCACATGATTCCAGAAGTCATACAAAAAGCTATACTCAGAGGACTATCGCTCCTTCCTGTACCCCTTCTGCTCCATTCCCTCCATCCCTTGTAAGTAACCAACTTTGTTATTTTCTGGTTAATCCTTTCTTTGTTTATTTTTGTAAAGATAAGCTTTCTGTCTTACACAAAAGATAGCATACTATATATGCTTTTTATTCTCCTAATATCATCTCTAGAAATCACTCAATATCATTTCATAGAGATCTTACTCATTTGTTTCTTACAGCTGTATAGTTAGTACTCCATTACATGTATGTACCATAGTTTATTTCAACTAATCTTCTATTCTTGGACATTTAGGTAGTTTCCAATATTATGCAGTTACAAATAATACTGTAATAGATAACTCCATGCATATGTATTTTTGTACTATTGGAGGTGTATCTTCAAGACAAATTCCTACAAATGGGAATGCTGGGTTAAAGAGTAAAGCACACACGTAGTTTTCTTAATATCGCCAAACTCCCCTCCATAGGGGTTGGAAAGTACTATATTTTGATTCAAACTCATTTAGTAATATACCAATACCTTAGAAATCCTGGTGTACCTCTTTTGGATTTCAGATGTTAGCTAGATGTAGTCTCATGATGCTGGAATTCTCTCTCATTCCTGCCAAACCTGAATGTTTTTATATATTTTTAAATTTTGCAAATCTTTGGAGAAAGGAATTAAAAGGAAAAGTAAGTTACTTTAACTACTTACTGAGTGGTGTTGTGTCGGGAGGTGGAAAATTCTCAGTAAAGTTGACATTACACAAGTCTGTGCTACAGCAGCAGAAACGGTATGTTCCATTCTGAATTGACGGAGGAGTGGTAGTTACTACACATTCTTCATAATGACACTCCTGGGGATCTCCAATGTGAGACCAACATCCTACAAATCAATATTAATGTAAACAAGATAGGAGTCAACACAATAAACAAAACTAAAAGGAAAACAACTAAGAAATAATTGCAATCAATGTGACAGAGTAAGTACATATAAGTTATAAAACACTCTTGCAAATTGATAGGGAATACACATTTTTAAACAACAGAAAAATGGCAAAGTGTAAACAGGTATTTCATGGGGAAAAAATCCACCAACAAAATGTTTAACTTCATCATTAACCTAAAAATTATTATTAAAGCAACAGTAATATTTCATTTTTGTCTATCTATTAAATTGTTCCAAGTTTAAAAATAATATTACTATCATAACAAGGAGTCAGTAACACTTTCATCCACTGCTGGAGGGAATGTAAATGTACATAGCATTTCTAGACAGCCACGTGGTAACTTTTACGAAGAGCCTTTAAAATATTCATGTTTTACAATCTAATAATTCTAGTTCGAGGAATCTATCACAAGGAAATAATCAGATAAAATCAAAGATTTACATTCAAAGATGTTCACTGAAGCATTATGTATTTCAGTGAAAACCAGAAAACAACATCATGTCCAACCGCAGAATACTGTGTAAGTAAAGTGTGATGTATGTATGCAATGATTATTGGTTAAATGTTAAATATCGGCAGAGGTTAAAAATGTTTTCAAATAATATTTAAAGACATGGGAAAATGGTCATGATATAATTTAAGAAAGGAAAAATTGAGTATGAAATTGTTTATATAGTATTATCCTAATTTTGAAAAAAAAAATCAATTACCCTTTACAAATTTGGGGCTTGTGGGTGAATATATACATGGATATATACTTTTAAATTTACTGTTTTCCTAGAGAGGGTTTTAATATACCTCCACAACCTTTTTGAACAAACTTCAATTGTATGAAACAAAGTTACCTCAGGTAAGAAAAGTATTACTTGCCTTGTTTTACGAGATTTATGTCCCCTTTTGATTTCTCCCAAAGGCCATAGCAGGTACTACCTTTTGAACATAATATTGTTCCATTTTCATGAGAGATTCGACTCTCGCCTATCCCAAGGTCTTGTTGATATGGATCTTTAAATGCACATAGACGTTCTTGATTCTGAGAAGCTAAAATAAAGGAAATAAAAGAATGACATTAATTTTATGATAATCTTTGTAAAACATTATTATATAAAATCTTAGAGTCTTTTTTTGGTGAGCAAGATTGGCCCTGAGCTAACATCTGTTGCCAATCTTCCTCTTTTTGCTTGAGGAAGATCATCCCTGAACTAACATCTGTGCCAATCTTCCTCTATTTTGTATGTGGGACACCACCACCACAGCATGGCTTGATGAGCGGTGTAGGTCCACGCCCAGGATCCGAACCCGCGAACCCCTGACCGCCAAAGTGGAGCGCATGAACTTAACCACTACACCACCAGGCTGGCCCCTTAAAATCTTAGAGTCTTTTTGGATGGCATTGTAAATTTCCCTATTAAATCTCTAAAAAAGCTTGAATAAATTTGTAATTTTATATTTATTCAATAACTTCTTTTTGTTCAATAATTAATTTGTAACATCTAAACAAGAAGCAAACTTGAAAACTCATTTCCCAAAAGCAATCCTCTCTTACATAAATTATTCTTACCATTCTTTCTCCTATTAAATAATTTTGGTGTCCAAATAAAGAAATATCATCAAAAAAAGTCCCTGCTCTAATTATCAAGCCTTTAAAATAAACAAATTAACAAACTTAGAGGGCTGAATAATTTTGAGAAATTCTACAGTACTCACTTTATCATATTTTACAGCCAGTTGTGGAAAACTAAAGATACATCATTAGGCATGGCAAACGAAGGATGAAGAGAGTGACTACAAATGGGTACATGGTTTCTTTTTGGGGAGATGGAAATGTTCTAAAATCAGATTGTGGGGCCGGCCCCGTTGCTTAGTGGTTAAGTGCGCGCACTCCGCTGCCGGCGGCCTGGGTTTGGATCCCGGACGCACACCGACGCACCGCTTCTCCAGCCATGCTGAGGCCGCGTCCCACATACAGCAACTAGAAGGATGTGCAACTATGACATACAACTATCTACTGGGGCTTTGGGGGAAAAATAAATAAAATTATAAAATCAGATTGTGGTAATGGTTGCACAATTCTGTAATTTTATAAAAAAAAGAATTGTTCACTTAAAATGAGTGAATTTCAGGGCCTGCCCTGTGGCTTAGCGGTTAAGTGCGCACGCGCTCTGCTACTGGCGGCCCGGGTTCGGATCCTGGGTGCGCACGGATGCACCACTTCTCCGGCCATGCTGAGGCTGCGTCCCACATAGAGCAACTAGAAGGATGTGCAACTATGACACACAACTATCTACTGGGGCTTTGGGGAAAAAAAACGGAGGAGGATTGGCAATAGATGTTAGCTCAGAGCTGGTCTTCCTCAGCAAAAAGAGGAGGATTAGCATGGATGTTAGCTCAGGGCTGATCTTCCCCACACACACAAAAAAAAGAGTGAATTTCATGGTATATAAACTATACCTTAATAAAAAAACTAAGGCTATTAGTGGGAAAAATTACTTTCCATTATTAAAATTAAAAATAACAATATAATAGCCAGAAGAAAAAAATGCCCAATAATCCCTTATACTAAAGAGAGAACCCAATGTACTTTCAATGCCAATCAGTCTTTCTCCACATACATAATCTGATTTAACTAATTTCGATAGAACATTTGCCACATAATTTATCAGCTAACAACTATTTACACCAGTGCTGAGAATACCAAAGAAGTAAAAGGTTATTGAAAGCAACAGCTGATCTTTATTTGGTTTCTTAGACTTTCCTAATGTGTTTGACTAGCCAGAATAACAAGAGTCTAATACAATCAGCCAATGTACTCCTCATGGCTTCTGATTTATTTCTTTATTTTGGGTGTGTATCTTATTTAGTACGGCTTAATTCACTAGCACCTTAGCACTGGAGCTGATTTATTAAAATGTTTCCGAACCTAAAAAACTAAGGACCAAAATCTGGAGAACAAATGAAAGAGCCAACAACTGTGTGTCCAAGCCCATTTAGACACATGACTGCCATATTTAATACAGCAGAAAGCACCTTCGAAGTATTGGGCTAGGCAAATAGGGGGTTCACAAGTAGGAAATATAGAGTTCTACCCCTCAAGCATCTTATGTAGTCTGTTTGGAGACAGACAGTAATTTCCAAATTCAGCAATCAAAGATGGTAATTACTGAAAAATAAATGTGACTTGATTTCCACAATTTAAAACCACTTCAGGCAGTCTTCTAGAAGATATTTACTAATATCAATTAAATGGCCAAAAAACATAGTACGGTCTACTTATAAAAACTAATTCTAGGACATTAGCCTAATTATGATTCTACCATATTTTTACCACATGTTGTCACATATTCAAATTCCTTTAATGACAAGCTTAATTATATTACTAGATTATCTTGCACATTTAACACCAGTATTTCCTTAGATTATCCCCTAACCTGAAAACTTTAACAAATTATTGTGAAGATTAAAATCAAATATATTTCTATATATAAAGTACATATACAACACAAAGATCTATACTTAAAAGATTCAAACTACAAACAAAAATTCTATAATATAGGTCTGAAAAAGCATATCTATCTATGAGGCATAATTTCTTTTCCCTGTTCCACCCCATTTCATGACTCAGGTTAAGTGCTTCTTACCGACTACCAGATATTGAAGTTACACAACCCACTCTGTTTCCCTTTTTGTCTTGATTGTTAGAAAGGTCAGAATGAGTTTATGAATTTAATATCTCTAGTTTTCCATAACCAAGATATCGTAATTTTTTTCTCTCCTCTTCTTCTGTTATCCATTTTGACTAGAATTTTGTATTGAATACTAAGTTAATGAATAGGGATCTAACTGTACCTTGAAGTAGATAGATCATAAATAAATAAGTGCCTTATTCAATTTAAAAATAAAAAGAAAAGGTATACCCTTGTGAAAGAATAGATGCAAAATGAGTATTTTTGCTCTTCCTGGATTTCCTTCACAACTGAAAAGTAGCTAAAGGCCTGAACATGTGTAAATTTTTTAGTGCCATTATTAAATAATTTGACAACTGAAATCTAAAATTCTCCTTATAGAAGACAAAACAAACAAACAAACCTAACCTCCCCTGTGTCTCCTTCTCCTCCTCTCTCCGCCCCCAACTAAGCTGAACTGATTATCAAAGCAATAAATGTACAATTGGAGGCGAATGAATCCTATTTTTAATTTCCCTCGGTTTTCACTAAATAATTTTTTTTCTTAAAATAACTTCAGCCTACTTTTTAGGAATCATTTTATGTCAGTGGCAATCGTATAGGCCAACTGTAATTTGCTATTTTAAGAGTAACTCTTTCCAATTATGATTCAGCAAATTCTAATATAATATAAATTCTAATAATAATATAATGATCTAGCAAGAATTCCCTGGTCGAAACAAAGAAAAATCCATTTTATAAAATGGATTTTACATCCATTGTTTCTAGCTTTTTAAATGCTATTTGTTAAAATCAGTCTCAGCAATATCTCTGTATAAAGTTTTGAATTCATAAATAACGCAGGAAAAGTAGGGATGAAACAAAGAATACAATGAGAAACACTATAGCCTAGCAGTATCCTGTCACAGATTACATACAGAGACTTGATCATTTACATGTAGGTGTTCTAAATTTGTCAACAGCTCGACAAATTTTGATCAGTCAAGTATGGTCAATTAATTAGCTCTTTTAAAGGACATCCTTAACCAGGTACAGTGATTAAACATAGGTCTTAAAAAAATTGCTCTCCTCATTTTAAACAGGTGATATTTGGTTATAATAAGCACTAAAACAATTTTGATTAACATAACTACTAACATAATTAAACTGGAAATAGTCTCATCCAAACTGCTGACAGAGGCATCTTCACAAAAGCTGATCATGCTTAAAATCTGTTAGCTCCCTGATGCTCCTGGAATTAAATCCAGACTCTTCAGTTAACATATAAGGCCCTTCATGATCAAGACCTAAGAAGGCTGCATGATCACCTCTGTGGGCCCTAGGAACCTGTGTTCATGGGCCCCTTCCTCCACAAAAAAATATTAAAAATTATATTTTACAACTGTGTTGGTATAAAGACAATATATTAAAACTAGATATTAAAACATTTTCTTCAATCTAAAAGTTCTTTTCCTTCTGATTTTTAAAAGAAATTAAAACCTTTTCACGGGCCTTCAGAAACACTGTGGGCCCTAGGCCCTGTGCCTACTGTGCCTAATGGGTAAGTCAGCCCCGGGACCCAATCGACCTCTTGCTATTCATCCCATTCCTCCATTCCCGGTGTCCACCACACTAATACGCCAAGGCCTTTCCTGACCTTTACGTATAACGTTCCCCATATCCAGAAAGCTATTTTTCCTGCTCTTCAGTGAAGTCTGCAGACAGTTAAATGATGTGCTTTCTCTGCACTCCCAAAGCTCTTAACTCATAACTATTTTAGCATTACATGGCATAATATTTTATCTGTTCTCACATGTATCTCCCCCACCAATCTGGAAGCTGACTTCACTTGTTCCTAGAGCAAGATCAGTATTTAACTCATTTTATATAGCACTAGTCTCCAACAGGGCAGACAGTTTTCATATCTACATATATTGTACTCAATGTCATATTCCCATTCAAAGGTTAAAATATCTAGGCAATAATCATCTAGTCTTCTACCACTCTATGATAAATGAAGCTGTAAAATTAGTCTGGGTGTAGAGGCAACATCATATTTTCCCCAACATATATAGCCAAATTACTGAGAATACAATAATCATTTTCTGTTTACATATGCTTCCTGGATCAGTATTTGCTAATCAAATACAGCATTTAATTCCCAGGAACAGATGCGGCATGTCTGGAATACTCAGCTGTCTTGCATTTCCCACTCCATGATAAAATGCTATCAAGAAAGTAGAGTGTAAAGGTATGGCATAGTTTTAACATGTCTGCATCAGTTAACTGTCATTATAGATGTAAATCAGCAACATCATTATGCACACACTGAAAAATACTACTTATTTTCTTCTATGAGGGGAGGAGAGAGAGGGAAAA